GAAAGTAACTAAGACAGTAGGAAATTGACAATATTAAGTGACTGAACGGTAAGGAAGAATAGTAACAAATAAACAAATAAGAAAATGAATAAATAAAAATCAGCATTAAGTTCCATAGCAACTCACTTCCTGCTCAATGGGATTTTTTAACTTCTCAGATTCTTTGGACTTTATGTTTTCATAGTCACTTTTAAAGGTAAGTCCTGTCATTTCAATACCCATGCTATCTTTGGAACATGTGGAGTCGTCACCTATGTATATTCAGAAAACAAAAACAGGTATATTAAGTGAGATAGGGAATACCAGTTACCACTGTTATGAATGGACGGTACTGTACTGTGACTGTAATCGTACTGTAATCAAATTCTAGTGCCCCATTGGTTCACCAAAATTGTGCAGGCCAGGTACGGTAACTGTGCGGTAACCGTGTGGTAACGGTGTCCCACTCATACGAAATCTGCTCTATTAATTACTTACATTCTGTATACTGTACGACTGCCACAGCTGACACACTGCCTGCAACACTTCTAGCAGTACAATTGTACACACCAGGATCATCCTTTGGATTGATTTTTAGTGGAGTCTGTGATTCAGTTACCCTGCTTTCTCCTGATGCCTCTAAGATTGTCCAGCTGATCCTTGGTTGCGGTCTTCCTTTAGCAGTGCATTCAAGGGTAATACTACTTTCCGAAGTTTCTTTATTCTTTGGTGTGTTTGTAAATGATGGCTTTTCTAAAAATGAATTTAGGAGAAATTGTCTATTTACATTTAGCATTACCACTGATTGTCTACGGTACTGGGGGTCTATTTTCAATAGTCCTCAACTAGCAAAAAGCAACAACTTTTTACGTATTTTAAGCAATAAAAACATTAGTTATTTATATATTTCATTCATTTTTTGTCCAACTAGTATGGTAATACTAAAACAATTAGATCTCTCGGCCTCATGGACTACGAGCTGATTGCCCAAATTCATTTTTTCAGTTGGAATTTGCTTGATCGGCAAGCATTTTTATGGCTTGTAAAAGAAATTAGCAAATTGGGAATTGATTGTTTTTCTTTATTTGTCTAAAAATGCGACAGGTCGAACAATTTGTCCTTTCAAAACGCGATTTGTCTGGTCATCTAGCGAATTTGGAAGGACATTGTCCTTTAACCAGCAATTATTTTTGAGCCCTGTAGAGAAAGTACATTTATTATGCTGAGAGGAGGGGGGGGCACAGAAAATTAATGAGACATTTCTGAGATATGTGTGGTCATAGTAACAGTCGTTCAAAAAGTTCAGTTCAAGTTTAACTTATCGCAGGTATCTGTTTTGTATTTTTGAAAATGTACTGTTAATAGAGTCAAGATTGTACTAACCATATACAATCAGTGTCGTCGATTTTGGACCAGGATTGTTAACAACGTAAGCTACAGTCATTTTGCAGATATACGTATAGTTTCCAGTTTCCACATTAACGGCCGAATCATCTTCATTTTTGCCTTGTCTGGCAACATCTTTGATAGTGAATTCTGCAAAGCCATCTTTGCCT